AGACACTGTATCTTTTGATAGCCAGACACCATCTTTCTTACATATATATGAATGTCACTGGATTTGTTCCTATAGTCAACCTGGCTTAACACACTTACCACACCCTACCAAGAATAGCTACATACTTAAATTTAAAAAATTTTAAGAACCTCTAGTGTGCAGTGGGTTACATACTTGGTTATTGATTAAAAAAACAACAACAAAATTTGTCATTTCAAACCCATTAGCCTCTCCACATGACAAAGATGTGGCAATACTGCTTCTATAAAGATTACAGCCTTGAAAACCCTGCAGGACAGTTCCACTCCACCTGATAGGGTCACTATGAGTCAGCATCCACCTGTGGGCTTCAAATGGGCTTCAAAACCTATGAACGTACACATATTTGTGTGATGAAAACTCACCTCACACTAGTATATAGAATTTTTTAAAGTAGTTTATTTTGTTTTAAAAAAAGGTTGTAGTTTTTCTTCCTGGGTATTTTTAGAGACATGAAGGTGGCATCCTGTGGGTGAGTAAACGGTACTGTACTCTGACCATGTCTGTCCATGGGTAAGTCAGAATGACACTGCAGAGGCGCACACATGCAATGTTAGCTATTTTTCATTTGCCGAAATGACACTGCTTAGGTTAGCAGGAGGACTCTGTTAGTGTACACTACTAGCTGTTTCTAAAATAACTACTTATGTCAACATGACTTTCTTTCTGACATTAAAAGAATAAGAATCTGCAACACAAATTTATTTATGAAATATATTCAAACACATGGAAAACTACAGCAAGATGTCAAAGCTAACAGTGGTTCCACAGTGGAATTAGGAGAGTAAACCCCATGGAGGTGAATCAATGACCAGGTGGCATGTTGTACAGCTTATGGGTCTGTGCCTACAGTGAGGTGACCAGATTTAAAGTGGGGCACCATTGACCGGGGAGGTGAGGGGGGGGAGTTCTTGATTAAAAATTTGGTCTATATGGACCAAATAGACCATTCCCTAGCTTGTCGTGCATTCTTTCCAAAAATCAGGACTTTTTTGAAATGCCAAAAAGCGGGACTGTCCCCCCAAACGTGGGACGTCTGGTCACCTTAGATAGGAATCAGGTGTAAACATTGTAGGATAACCTTACAGTGAAATATTCAACCCTGCCTTTGTCATTAATGCAATTTCATACTCGTCAATCAGGTATCTCAATTTGAAGTTTCAGATATTAGGATCCCCTTCAGGTTGGCCTAAATTGCTCATTGTACCTACCTTGCTCTTTACCTGTCTCAGCCCCACCCAATGGAGGTCCTCCTGTCGTAATAAAGTCGGCTGCCACAGCTCAAAAGCAGCCCTTGTATTGTTCAGACTCAAGTTGGAAGTAACCTTGACTTTACTGGAACTCACACCAATTTGCACCATTTATACTGTCCTGACCATATGCATACATGTAATCTACTATTAAGACTATAAATCATTTTTGGTCAGAGATGATACCTTATTTATCTTTACTCCTCCTTCCCCAACAATTTCTAACACAATGTTCTAGAATTAAACGTTGCTCAATAAATACCAACTAAATACATACAGGCATCGATGAGCAAAGCTTCTAAGTCATTTCGAATGCACCCATAAATAAATGATCCTGGCTATATGCTCGTTTTTCCTCAGCCTTTTCTGGATGTGGACTTTTTAAACATATTTTTATTGTCAGACTAGGTAAGGCATCCAAATCATAGCAACCCTACAGGACAGGGCAGAATGACCCCTGTGGGTTTCCGAGACTGTAACTTTTCACGAGCAGAGAAAGCCTAGTTTTACTTCCCAGGAGCAGCTGGTGGTGTCAAACTGCTGACCATACAGTTAGCAGCCCAACACATAACCGTAACACAGTCAGGGCTCAGCATGCCCTCGCGATGGCAGTGAGCTTGGTTTTCAGTTCAGGTAAAGCAGCAAAAGTAAATCCAAAAAGAAGGAAATAACAGGGTAAGTGTGGTGGTTAATCTTATGTGTGAACTTGTCTAGGTAATGGTTGCACATTAGTCAAACAGATGCTGCTGTGAAAAGATTTAGATGTGATTATCATTTACAAAGACCACTTGTCTGTCAGTTTGCCGTACTGTAGTGACTTGAAACACTTGTTGATGAAGATCAAGAACTACAGCCTTCAATGTGACTCACAACTCAGTGTAAAGAAAGCCCAAATCCTCACACCTGGACCAATAGGTGACATCATGATAAATGGAGGAAAGATCGAAGTTGTCCAGGATTTTTGTCTTGCTTGGACCCATAGTCAATGCTCATGCAAGCAGCAGTCAAGAGATCAAATGGCGCATTGCATTGGGCAAATCAGATGCACAAGACCTCTTTAAAGTGTTGAAGAGCAAGCAAGGATGTCACTTTGAGGAATAAGGTGTGTTTGGCACAAGCCATAGTACTGTCTGTAACTTCAAGAGTGTGTGAAAGCTGGGCACTGAATAAGGAAAACCAAAGAATTGGTGTGTTTGAATGATGGT